GAATGTCCCTTACATTTTGGTTCTGTAGCTATGTTAGGTCCTGGTGGCTATTTTTGGTCCGATGGCTTTTTTTTGGTGGCGCCTATTTTTGGAGTTTTTTTTTTTTTTTTTTTTTTTTGCCCTGTTGGCCACTTTTGGTCCTGGTGTCTATTTTTGGTGGAGGCTCTTTTGGGTGTTTTATTTTTTTGTTTTTTCCTGTTGGCTATTTTTGGTCCTAGTGGTTTCTTTTGGTTCTGTCAGCTATTTTTGGCCCTGGTGACTATTTTTGGTTCTAGAAGTTATTTTAAGTCCTGGTGGCAATTTTCTGGTGGTTCTCTCTTGTCCTGTTGGCTATTTTTGGTCTTTGTGGCTATCCGGGAAGTGATGGGACGTCCCAAATTGGACAGTTTTTTAGTTTTCATTAAAAATTGCTGCAAATCAGCGTTTCTGGCTCATGCTTTCAGCCGACCTCCGGTACTCCAGAATCCTGATCCGGCCTCTTTGCAGCGTGTTATAAATCTACCTTTGCTGGATGTCATTTATTTATCCTGAGTATCAGGACGAGTGTGATTAAGAATTCACAAGTCAGAAGATTAAAATCCAAGAAATCAATTCATCGCTCGTCTTCGATTTGCATGCTAAGCTCAGCTTTGTGCTGCTAATCAATATAAATATGAATTTCTGCCGGCCTTGGATTGAGTCTAGAAGGGTCCTGTCATTCACTTGTCAGCTCGCCGTCTCCGCCATTCATCTTCCTTTTCTCACTCGCGAAAATGAACCGACAGCTTAAAGTGCAACTCCAGCGTTCCCTTCAGTCTTGCACAGGTGTACCGGCTCCTCCCCTTCAGTCTTACACAGGTGTACTAGCTCCTCCCCTTCAGTCTTGCACAGGTGTACCGGCTCCTCCCCTCCAGTCTTGTACAGGTGTACCGGCTCCTCCCCTTCAGTCTTACACAGGTGTACTAGCTCCTCCCCTTCAGTCTTGCACAAGTGTACCGGCTCCTCCCCTTCAGTCTTGCACAGGTGTACCGGCTCCTCCCCTTCAGTCTTGCACAGGTGTGCCGGCTCCTCCCCTTCAGTCTTGCACAGGTGTGCCGGCTCCTCCCCTTCAGTCTTGCACAGGTGTACCGGCTCCTCCCTTCAGTCTTGCACAGGTGTACCGGCTCCTCCCCTTCAGTCTTGCACAGGTGTGCCGGCTCCTCCCCTTCAGTCTTGCACAGGTGTACCGGCTCCTCCCCTTCAGTCTTGCACAGGTGTACCGGCTCCTCCCCTTCAGTCTTGCACAGGTGTAGCGGCTCCTCCCCTCCAGTCTTGTACAGGTGTACCGGCTCCTCCCCTTCAGTCTTGCACAGGTGTAGCGGCTCCTCCCCTCCAGTCTTGTACAGGTGTACCGGCTCCTCCCCTTCAGTCTTGCACAGGTGTAGCGGCTCCTCCCCTCCAGTCTTGTACAGGTGTACCGGCTCCTCCCCTCCAGTCTTGTACAGGTGTACCGGCTCACTCATGGAAACGTGCCCCATCGCACCTGTGGGTGTGAACCTAGCCTTACTACTTACATGGAGTTTGTATACTCACCCCCCACCCCCTTACCGGGCTTGTCTCCAAAGACCTGGTAGAGGATTAATTGGCTCCTGTCCAAAGTGGCCCCAGTATGTGAGAGAGTAACCTTAGATTGTAAGCACCTCGAGGGCCGGGGCTCAGCTTAGTGGCTAGTAGTCCTGCTTTAACCATGCTGAGGTTCTTGGTTCATGTCCCAACCAGGACACTGCATGCTCGGGGATTGTATGTTCTCCTTGTGTCTCCAAAGACATGGCGGTCGGTTAATTGGCTCCTGTCCAAAGTGGCCCTGGTATGTGATTGTAAGGTCCTCAAGGGCAGGGGCTCAGCCTAGTGGCTAGTAGTCCTGCCTTACAACACTCTGGTCCTTGGTTCATATTGGGGTTGGCCAGGGGATTGACCAGGGGCCAGGGGATTGACCAGGGGCCAGGGGATTGGCATTTTCAGAAGGAAGCCGCGTTGATTCCATAACCTGGCGTTCCAGTAGTAACGTTCCGGCACCAAGCACACCTTTCCCTACCCAGGGGATTGGTCAGGGGCCAGGGGCCAATCCCATCCCAAGTTTCTAGTTCTCATAATTTGTTTACGGCAGGAGAGCGCACTGACAAGTCGAATTATTCAGGGGCCCGGCTCCCACTTCCCGCCCTCCTGCAGACTATGGAAATCATTAGCCGGATAACTTCTCTCCGCTCCTCCGCGCCGTTCCTCGCTCGCCCTCAATCGCCGCTTCTGTTTGACCTCAATGACTGCCGTGTGTCCCCACCGCCTGAGCAGAGCCTCCGATCTGCTCCCATGAAAAGTTCCTTCTGGGGGGGGGGGGGATGGGAAACACGCCTGAAATGTGTATTTCATACATAATAAATTGCCAGCTAAATCTCCGGCTTTCTGAAAATGGTTTTCTGCTGCCCACAAAAAATGTTACAGCGAGCCGCGTATAATCCCCGCGGGACGGCGCAGACATCGACAGGAAAGCGGCTGGTAAATACGTGTAAAGAGAACAGCCCGCGGCTTTGTCGCCTTTTTTTTTTTTTTTCTCCCTCTTTGGCGCCTTCCAAGGTGGATAATGGCTTATGTTGTTTACAACAAAAAAAGATCTCTCCGGGTTGCAGCGGCTGCAGATTGATTCTTCGGAGGGGAGAGAGTTTTGCCGAGAGATAGACTGGAACTTCGGAAAAGTTTGGATTGTCACCCCCGGGACGGGGGGGGGGGGGGGGGGGGGGGGGTAAAACGGACGGACAGCGGTTGTCATTTCCATGCTGCAAAATATGCAGATGAAATACAGATCGGGGAGCTGCTTTACCTACCATGTGATTTGTCCCATCCAGACCTGCGATAGGCCAAGCTCTGCCGCTCCCCGCTGCAGTTCAGTACCACTTAAAGGGCTTGACCCCCCCTCCCCCCCCAGCCTGTGATTGGGCAGTGAATGGAGAAGCAGCAAGTCGGGGAGCTTTTTTCTCTCCTATCAGCATGCTTCATACACTGGATAGGCTATGTCTGCTGGCCCTCCTTCTCCCAGACTGAGCTGTGCTGTACAGAGAGGTCCCATTCAGGCACTTGCATTGCTGGCCTTTAGGACTCGTTCACATTCCGAGCGTTTGTTCATCTTTAGGAGGTGAATGTAAAGGTGAACCAATATTGTACACCCTCTCCCCCCAGTCCCTCCCCCCCCAGTCATTTCCCCAGTTCCCCCCAGTCCTTTCCGCAGTTCCCCCCAGTCCTTTCCCCAGTTCCCCCCAGTCCTTACCCCATTCCCTTCCCCAGTCCTTACCCCATTCCCTTCCCCAGTCCTTTCCCCAGTTCCCCCCAGTCCTTACCCCATTCCCTTCCCCAGTCCTTACCCCATTCCCTTCCCCAGTCCTTTCCCCAGTTCCCCCCCCAGTCCCTTCCCCAGTCCCTTCCCCAGTCCCTCCCCCAGTCCCCCCCCCAGTCCCTCCCCCAGTCCCTCCCAGCAAGTCCAGCAGTCCAGGAATTTGAAATCTCTGCTCTTCTTCTTGGATGGACTGAAGTGATTCTGATTGGTCCACGCCATCGCGCTGCATCACTGTGATCCGACCAATCACTGTGGTCTGCCTCAGAAGCAACGCGTAGAAAAGAGGCGGGGGGCTTCAAATCCCCAGTACTTCTGTACTGGCTGACAGTTCAGTGACCCCAAAGGTGCCGGGGGGGGGTGTACAGTGTTATTTCACCTTTACAGTTTTTTTTTGTAAAGGTGAACTAACCCTTTTAAGATCCATTGCAGTGCATGTTACACACCTTACTGATCATGTTCAGGCGTGATGCGTTAAGGCAGCCCATTTATTATGAATCCAATGCGTTGTATGTGACACCTAACTTCCTCACAACCTAACCTCCTAATGGTATCATTGCTAGGCTGGGAATGATGTCATCAAACTTTCTACCCTACAATCTTCATCACTGGAATGACCTAGTCCCCCCCTCCCCCACCATTCTGCTTCTTAGCATTGTGTTCAGCAACCAATGGGCTTTAAATACAGTATGTGCTCATTACATAGGCGGGGTTTTGCTTCCTACCTAGCGCAGCAGATAGAGCTAGTGCATCGCCGTGTGCTACAGAGCGCGTGTGAACGGGCCCTTAAAAAAAAAAATGTATGTAATGATATATTAATGAGGACAAAGCTGCATTAATCACAAAGTTGCCTTTTATATCGAGAGTTCAGCTTTAAAAAAAATCCCTGCTGATCCCACCCAAGAGGTCCTTCTTAAGATATTTCTTGGTGACAACGCTCTTTCCCTGTCTCCATAGTGTGCACTTTGGTTGTCACTTGGGCATTCAACACCCATTTCGCAAGTATGGTCCACTGTTGTCCCTGTCTCCATAGTGTGCACTTACGTTGTCACCTCGACATTCAACACCCATTTCGCAAGTAAGGTCCACTGTTGTCACCACCATCAGGAAACTTACCCTAAGAAATGCTCCATCGATGGAGGGCTCCCTGTCATTTGGGCATCCAATGGACACTACGAGTTGCCATTTCAACACCCATTTCATAAGTATGGTCCACTGTTGTCACCACCATCAGGAAACTTACCCTAAGAAATGCTCCATCGATGGAGGGCTCCCTGTCATTTGGGCATCCAATGGACACTACAAGTTGCCATTTCAACACCCATTTCATAAGTATGGTCCACTGTTGTCACCACCATCAGGAAACTTACCCTAAGAAATGCTCCATCGATGGAGGGCATCCTGCCATTTGGGCATCCAATGGACACTACGAGTGGTCATTTCAAAACCCATTTCGCAAGTATGGTCCACTGTTGTCTGTCTCCATAGTGTGTACTTATGTTGTCACCTTGTAACTTGGGCATTCAACACCCATTTCGCAAGTATGGTCCACTGTTGTCACCACCATCAGGAAATCTACCCTAAGAAATGCTCCATCAATAGAGGGCACCCTGTCATTTAGGCATCCAATGGACACTAAAAGTGGTTATTTCAACACCCGTTTCGAAAGTATGGTCCACTGTTGTCGCCACCATCAGGAAACCTACCTAAGAAATGATCCATCAATGGAGGGTACCCTGTCATTTGGGCATCCAATGGACACTACAAGTTGCCATTTCAACACCCATTTCATAAGTATGGTCCACTGTTGTCACCACCATCAGGAACCCTATTCAAGAAATGCTCCATCTATGGAGGGCATCCAATGGACACTACGAGTGGTCGTTTCAAAACTCATTTCACAAGTATGGTCCACTGTTTGTCCCTGTCTCCATAGTGTGCACTTGCGTTGTCACCTTGAAACTTGGGCATTCAACACTCATTTTGCAAGTATGGTCTACTGTTGTCACCACCATCAGGAAACCTATTCAGAAAAAGCTCCATTGATGGACAGCATCCTGTCATTTGGGCATCCAATGGACACTACAAGTCGCCATTTCAACATCCATTTCAAAAGTATGGTCCATTGTTGTCACCACCATCAGGTAGACCTACCCTAAGAAAATGCTCCATCGATGGAGGGTTTCCCTGTCATTTGGGCATCCAATGGACACTACGAGTGGTCGTTTCAAAACCCAATTCACAAATATGGTCCACTGTTTTCCCTGTCTTCATAGTGTGCACTTACGTTGTCACCTTGTAACTTGGGAATTCAACACCCATGTCGCAAGTAAGGTCTACTGTTGTCACCACCATCAGGAAACCTATTCAAGAAATGCTCCATCTATGGAGGGCATCCTGTCATTTTGGCATCCAGTGGACACTACAAGTGGCAATTTCAACACCCATTTCATTAGCATTGTCCACTGTTGTCACCATCAGGATACCTACCCTAAAAAAATGCTCCATCCATGGAGAGCACCCTGTTATTTGGGCATCCAGTGGACACTACAAGTGGCAATTTCAACACCCATTTCATAAGTATGGTCCACTGTTGTCACCAATATCAGGAGACCTACCCTAAGAAATGCTCCATCCATGGAGGGCATGTTTAATTGTTTACAATAGAAGATGCTTTAGCAAACCAAATTAATTGAATTCGGGTTCCATCTACTTTAATGCTCTTTCCCTGTCACAGCCGTAGCCTCTAATGTACACACCAGCCTCTGGTTAAGGAACATATGTCTCGAAAATGCAAAGGACTGTCCATGAATAGGAACAACCTTGAAAATGGCCATGTTCTTCCCCATTGGATCACATATCACTGGTATGGTCCACCATTGCCACCATGGGTAAACCTGGCCTAAGAAATGCTCCGTTGGTGGAGGACTTGATACTTGGTGCTTTAGCAAAGTAAATGTCATTGAGCTAGGTAATGCTCTTTCCTTGTCAAAGCTGTAGCCTCTATTACCAATCTCTGACTAGGGAACATATGCATCGAAAATGAAGATTGTCCATGAATAGGAATAACCTTTAAAATTGCCGTGTTCTTCCTCATGGGATCCCATTTCATTCTTGTTATGGTCCACCATTGACACCATCAGTAAACCTGGCCTGAGAAATGCTCCATCAGTGGAGGACTTGTATTGTGCAGTTGATAATGATACTCAGTGCTTTAGAAAAGTAATTGCCATTGAGTTAGGTGATGTTCCTCCCCTGCTACAGCTGTAGCCT